TAGGGGAGAGTGGGGTCAATTGTAACAGGGTACGATTGTAACAGAGCAAAAATTTCGAGTGTCGGGTTCTAGATTTGGTTCCTAGGTGGCGCACAAGGTGTATTTAATAAATCTACATGTACACCCCTGCTGGCAACCATTTTTATGTACTTTGGAAAGAGTTAGATCACAAAAGATATTTTCACGCTACGTAAGTACTTTTTTTGATATTAGAATATTATATTGTAACAAAGTTATTTTGTTTAAACAAAAAAAAATTATTAGCAGAAAATGTAAGTGGACACCTTAATTAACATTTAAAAAAATTAGTTTTGTTAATTAACTAGAATTGTTTTTAACAAATGAAGCTGAAATGGTGTCTTGGAGACGATTGTAACAGCTGAAAATAAATGATCTTATGTTTACAAACCATTACTTAACTCTTTAAGAACCACCAATCGTTTCCTATACCATGTATAATATGTTGCAAGTGCATTATTTTATTTGTCACCTTTCACAGCATAAATTAAAATCAGTAACCTTTTAAAGTTAAAAGTTTAACCCTTTAGGTCTCTGTTCATTGTTATTTTTACTCCTAAAATATCACTACTATTTTGATCAATAAAAAAATATATCACAACTATGATAATATGTATAATTAACTATGTTTTAGTCGAATTTATGAACTGTTACAATTGACCCCGTAAGAGGGGACAATTGTAGCAAGTGCACGACTGTCAAAAATTGTTAATAACTAATATAATAACATTTGAAATAAGGTATTTATTTTTTTTTCTAGTAGAGGATAGTCTACTTTACTCGTATGTCAATTAATACTAGTAATATATTGGATTTTTTGTTAGTTAAAAATAGTTAAGTAAGAAATTTTACAATTGACCCCACTCTCCCCAACACATAATCATAATTATAGTGATTTTTAAGAATGTCATAGAAACATGAAATGAAAGATGAAAAGTAATATTTGAGATAGGTACGTCGATTTTTCTGTAAAGTTTTGGAACACTTTCTTGCGGTTAAGTTGCATTTTGTGTAAGAATAAAAACGTTTCGAACTTTTAGGATTGGTTAATATCTTCCATTCTCACATTGTATATAAAATTAACAAAAACTTGGACAAATAAGACTTTTGACATAAACACACTTTTGTCACTTTGTATCTGTTATTTCATTCTGATTTACCAATACAACAACACTAGTTGCACTAGTTTCACCTTTCCAAACAACAAACCAATTGTCCCTTGTAGCAATTACATTATATTCCTTTTAGAGACTAAGACTAGGATTATTTTCTGAATCTATATCTAACTTGGACTCTTATATTAATTTATAAACTCCATTATTATACTACTGACTATCATCAACGAAAGAAAAAAACAAGATAAATAATCTATAAATTATATATACATCACAGAGGTTCATCAATATCATATTGTATCTGGATTTAGATCTGTCAATCTTCTGATTTATTATGTTTCATTTGCTGTTCAGCATACTACAAATCACTGTGGATAGTAATATCCCAGTGATGAGACTAATATTGATTTTTTATTATTTCATGCCCTTTCCTCTGCTTTTCAAGGTTTGTTCTGTTAATCAACGAATTACTTCAGCTTAAACTAAATCGACTATAAATCACTGAAGATGTGAGTAATTCATATAAATCTCCAGTGATGGGACAATTTTATAGTTTAAAAGTCCACAAAAAGTATCTCGTTTTTCGAAGGCAGGAGAATCTTCGAGGTCTGCTCCAAATGTCAGACTGAGCAGGCATCTCCCGAACACATCCTGGACTGTTTGGGACTTTCCAGAGAGAACATATACTTATCCCCCCTTCTGGTCCTCGATTTTCTTAGGATAAACCGTTTGATGGATCTTGTTTGACTTCGTAAGGCATTGGAGGATAAGCCACAACAGCAACAACAACAACAAAAAGTACCTATTGTAAATGTTTTTGTCGTTTTTAATTTTCTTAATTTCGGCGTAACTTTTCCACACTAAAGAGTTACGAAATTAAAAAATATATTTTTTTTCGATTCACTCTAATGGTCATAATTTCAATGAAAACTTTGTAAAGTTATAAAATATCAGTTTTCGTATCTCTCTAAAGCAAGTGAAAAAAAAGTAGTTAAAAATGCATTTATGAGACAGAAAGAGTATCTATAAAAATTAATCTAACTTGTTTAGTTCTTTTTCTTTCCGATATTACTTCTTTTATGAAGTCGCTGAAAAATTGTAGAGCAGATCCATTAACAGCTGATGACTTGAAAATATTTTTAAGATGATGCCAGGAAGTAAAAAGCACTTAAGAAACAAAAAAAAACGAAGTTTAAGTAAATTATACACATTTTCATAATAAAATGAAAGATTTAAGTTATTTATGGCTTACACATTAGGCACAATTTGGATTTATGTATAATTCCAAAGTTCTTGTTCACTTGTTGAACAAACTCACTCTTTGAATCATTGAGGGAATCGATCTTCGTAGAAAAAGCAGAACTTGCAGTCACGTCCAATACGAAAGCATTAAAAATCCTTTAAAATATATAAATAAATTTATATGTATGTTGCAGTTGTTGTAGTTTATTTGCGTCGCACTAGAGCTGCACAATGGGCTATTGGCGACTGTCTGGGAAACATCTCTGAGGATGATCCGAATACATGCCATCACAATTTTGATCCTCTGCTGATGGGATGGCACCCTGCCTTTGGTAGCCCGACGACCTTAACGCGAAATCGAGCACTTAAAGGTAGAACAGTTTAACGAGTACCAATATCGCAAACCCTCAGTCCCTATGCAGACTGATCCAAGTAGTAACCCAACCGCACACTGATCGCAGCCAGTACTGCTTGACTTCGGTGATCTACTGGAAACCGTGTATTAGCGATCAGTCCACTGCAAGCACACACACACATATATATATATATGTGTGTGCTTGGTTTATAATGACATAAAAACTATCACAATGTAAATCCTATGTTTTAGAAGTTTTCTCTCTTACATGTTAACTTGCTATCCCTAATGTGCATACTTAAAAGCCCCTTTCCATAGACTTCAAATTAATTCTTATTATATTCGAAAAATTATTTCATATCTTCCCAATATCAACGATCTGAAACAAAACATTCGTTTAATTCATAAGTTGTGCTTTTGTTTTCGATGCTTCTTTTTTTATTGAAAAATTTATTAGTTTTGAGTTTTTGGCACAAGAGACTAAGAAGCAGGCTATACAACACCTAACACTTGGTTTATATTTTGAGACCAATTTAAATTTTGAGTACTCATCACTGTCTGTAGGGAGCTAGATTTCGATGAGGGACCGAAAAATGTATACTAATTGTTTTGGCACACTTATTATATTTATTATTTTCTGTTACAGGTGTTCTATTGGCTTCACTTACGTATGAAGGTGATGAAAACAAAGTTTCTTTGCTTGTTTTGGATGCTAAAACTATGAAGGAAATAGGAAGAGCAACATTTCATGCGAAATCTTCTGTTCCTGGAACATTTCACGGAATATTCGTCGATAAAGTTTAAATTGCATATAAAGCTCTATAAACATGCAACATATTTTGTTCCAGAATTATTTTATAATATTGAAAATAATTTTTTTAAATGTGTATTTGAAAGCAAATGTATTTTTGTACTGCTATTGTAATTAATAAAATTGAAATATAACGATTATAGATGTATATNAGCAAAAGATGAAGTAATTTTAACTTCGTGATTATTGGGAAAATAATAATACTAAATACTATCAACTCAAAACTCTTTATTTACATTGAAAAAAATATACATTTTGCAATGTCTCAGTTATACACGCAATTCAACTTAAAGTAACATCAGTATGACTTCTGTTGTTGCAGATTAAATGACCAATAAGTTATATTAGGTTGTAAGATGTTAGTTTAAGCAGGACTGTTGATTTTTTTGCTAGTTATTTATTGTTAGCTTGTTTTTTACGGTTATTAATTGTTTTTTTAGTATTAATTTTTAATTTTTTAATTATAATTGTTTATTCTTTTGTTTGTTTTTTGTGAATTTTAATTTAATTGTTACATATGCTTCGTAGCGTAATAACATTTGTGTAATATCAATTAATAATGTAACAACAATTGTGATCGGTGGAGTGCCCAAAATATTGCGACGCGTGCCATAAATGGCACGCGTGCTATTGGTTCGCCATCCCTGTTCTAGTCAATAAGATCGAAGATATGTGGGCAGTCATAAAAAGGGACTTCAGAAAAAAATGTCATCGCCAGTCTGGTACCACAGACGCCATTTTCGATTCGTTTTTCGCAGAATTTGTGTGGCGATGGAGGTACACAGATTTTATTCATGATAAATTTAGACAGTATCTAACTGCTATTAGAGAATTCGGGGCATCTAAATCTGAGGATATTCACTCTTAACGAAGAAGTGAGTTGTTATTTTCCTTTTCTTTCTGTGCTTACTCCATTAATTTTTGTTTCGGTTCAAAATGCATTTTATTGGGTTTATTAATTTTGCTCATATCGGGTTCTTTGCAATTTTATAAAGTTTGGGCCGATGTTTTGTTGAAATTTTCCAATGTTTTATTGAAATATCATTATATTTTAGCAGCCATTCCTGTTATCACGGTGTTCCACCAAACAGGAATGGCGTCAAACATAAATCGCCAATTTTGCCAAGGGGCACCCTCAAGTATATTTTTACCCCTAACTCAAATCATTACTGCTTCATCAAGCAGTGCTTCATCTCCGCCCCCCAACAGTAATTTAAGTTTTAAACTGAAAACAATTAAAACCTAATGAAAAAAGAACTTTAAAATATGGCAAACAAATTGAAACATGTAATATTAATAAGTTGATGCCGACTAATATTTCCAGAGCAAAAACCACTGCAAATAATTGCCCAATTATATAATTGCCAATATATAATAAAAACATATGTAACTGAATTTCGACAAATTAAATTATGTAATTTAATTTTTTTGTCAGATTGAATACTAATAAAAAAACAAATGTAAAATGAAATAATTATGTTATCAATGATCAATAAGCACTTTTGTCTGAATTGTTATAAAAAATAAGGTGAAAACAATAAAATTAAAAATTATTTACAATAGATCTCTGAATATTTACAAAACCTAGAAACCTTTCATTGAATTTTCTTTTCACACCATTTTGTGTACAAATGATTTGCACTTTTATGCATTATTTAAGAAATATCTCAAACAAATATGAACTGTTAATTTATATTTCTGCCTCAACGATTTTTTGAAAGTAAGTAAAAAACAATTATAAGTAATGAAAAACAATGATAAATTAAAAATTATTTGCCAAACCTCCTTTATACAAATTTTTTTATCAATTTCTTTTCCATATTATTCGTTTTCATTTAAACGTCTTGACTCTTCAACGTTTCTTCGTCACGCATTTCGCTGTCGCGTATTGATAGCACTACCATTATTTTCCCGGTAATTTTGTGCTACTTAATTGGGTATAATATAAAAAAAACACAACTACTTCCACTTAGTAGGAATAATATTTACCATGACGCAATGCTAAATTCTATGCCACTATCCACATAAATGCCACTATCCACATAAATCAATTATTAATCAAAAATCGAATATCAATTACTTTTCTTCATAATGCAATAAAATCTGGCGAGCAGCTATTTAAACGATCAAACACTTCGCTTGTTTATTTGTGGCTTGAAGTTAGGCTCGCAGAAAATGCCGTTCATGGGTTAAATTTAGTAGGAATAACACAACCTGTGACGTAGGCTATAGTATACCCAATTATGTTTTGCCCTATGTCGCTACTGATATCGCCTAAGATATTCACGGCGATCCATTTTATTTACGAGATATAAGTATTTTAAAGTAAACTCTGTTCAATATATTTCACACATTCAATGCAAAATAGAAATCGCAACTAGCTTTAACTGGTAAGTTTAGTTGTAACATTTCTGTAGACAGCATTATTAAAAATTATTACCTTTTCACACACATGCGTTTTCAGTTTTGATTGGCTATGTGTTATCATTCCACTCTCTTCTTATATTATATAAAGATATGCCTTTCTTTTTTGTGTATAGTGTTCATTAGAGCTGTGGTATCGATAGTTGAATTGTTCTANTATTATATATATTACGTTTAAAAATTTTTTTTTAAGAATACTTAACGAACACCTGACCTCTTCACAGATAATGGTTTTTCTTTCTGTGCTGATATTTTGAAATTTTGAACCAATGTTTTGGAGCAGTCTTCGAATATGCCCAAAATCTAGAGAAAGGCAAATTAAAATTTTATCAATTTCAAAATTTAATAATACTAAATTATAAGCAATTAATAGAAATATATGCACTTTTATATACTGAAAGATCATGCAATAAACGTCTCGTTTTGAACTCTTCACAAAGTGAAAAATAAATGAACCAAAGCTTACAAGACCTGAAAATATCAAGTAAAGCTTCCCTAGTTATAATTTTCTTGAAGAAAAAAAGATTAGAAATTGGAAAAAAAACTAGCAAGAATATTGGTTCTAGATTTATGCCAATTAGCAACATATAAGCTTTTCTCAGCTTTTTATAGAAATCTTAGCCGCTTGTACTATAGTTTTTCTGGATGTTAATAAAGTGTCGGATAGATATGCGTTAGATAATAGCTAGATTCTAGAAGAGTACGAGCTGGAATTTCGTAAATATTCTAATTAATTAAAACATTAAATATCTGATCGAGTTCCTGTTCTATCAATTTTTGTTATTCGGGATTGTCCAAACCCGTTTCCACGATAGTGTTCAACGATTCAATGAGAGGAATCCCATTTCCAATGTACATTGCTTTAAATAATAAAAAATAAAAAAAGTACGCACCACCCTAAATAACTCGCGATCCTAATGATCATCACGTCCTAGTGCTGATCCAATCTTTATTGCTGGAGGGCGTGATATCAACTAAAAATGTGTTCCTTACAATATTTTGTACCTACCGGGTTAGTTAGAGGTGATTTGCTTAAATTTGGCTATAATGTTAAATAACAAGTTATTACCAAATAGAAGTCTCAAGTTTGGACAACGTGCGATGAGATAACAGGAAAAAAACATTGGTTTAATTTTGGTATTTGTAATTACCAAGGTTTATCAGGACAATTAAGGGAAGTTCTAGTTGGCAGCAATGCTGAATAACGATTTTACCAAGTCTCAAATTTGGACCATATGTTTTCTATGAGACAAAGAGATAAATTAAAAAAGCTTAATTTCAATATTTTGTAACTATTAGAGTGATTAGGGGATAGACAGTTATGTTCATTTACACATTCCACGAAATACCACCATGTGTTTGATGCAGCATAGCTCCTGCGTTTAAGTCATTAAATCACAAAGAAGAGAATTCGTGCAAGTGAAGGGCAATTTCAAACAGGCTTCTTTGGGGTTTGGTGATAGTCACTGAATTCAGGAAGAGACTACTAATAAATAATATTCTATTAATATGTACTGTTATTCTCAATAAAAGTGTTTATTTCTATTATCCACTATAGTTTTTTTCTTTTCAGTAACAAAACTGTTTTAAATCACTTACTCTTTTAAGCTTTTTTGTTGTGAATGTGGGAGAGACGATTGACCTAATTCTTCTCCAATAATCTCCTTCACTTATTAAAAGAGATCGGCTCAAAATAGGGCAACCTTGAAAAACCTAAATATACAGAAACACATTTATTTCATTAAATAAAGATTGGTATTTTGCTTAAAGTATGTTGAAGTTATTTCCTTAGAAATAGTAGATCGAAAAAAAAAAGAGCGATTTTCTGTTTCTGCGGAAGGTTTAGCTACGAGCGAGGCGAAAACAAACTTACACCTTCTCGTGCTCGATGGTAGACAATATATCGTTGTTATCTGACGATTTCCTAAAGTAGCCAAGTTTGGCTATTCGGAGATTTAAAAAATTCATGAGAAATGAAAATGCGTTTGAGCATTTATCTTTCTTTGTGTTTAGATTTAAAGACACCTTCTAAAGAGTATAGAGGAAATTTGTCTAAATTATACCACTTTTCAACTTAAATTTTTAATCAGTCATAAATCACTAACAATTACATTTGAAATATTAAATAATAAAATGGATTTTTTTATAATTATATTTATACCGTCAGATGGGGTGACTTTGTGCAATGAGGGGTGGTTTTGTGCAAACTGTCATTTTTCAATTTTTGCGTCGTGTCATCTAGGGGTATTTTTTTTCAGCTCGGAATCAACTAATTTGAGTTGTCAACATAACAAACTAATGGTTTACCAAGAACTGGCAATGTAAACATCATCATTCTTGGAAAATGGTGAGTTCAAGTTACAAACAGTTTCAATTTTTTAACGACGCAAAATCGGAGCCTGGAAAGTCTGCTCGGTTGACGAAGTTCCAGTTATCCTGGCCAGGAAGGTAGGCTATACTTTAAAAGTCTTATCAATTGAGATAACAAATTATGCATTATTTTTTGTTTTTAATTATTATAATGTTAGTTATTTAATAATTAACAAAAAAAATGCACCTTGGGATGACTTTGTACAATTTTTTTTCGGAGAAAAACGTTTAGGATACCTATTATCGATATTAGGATATTATTTAGGATACCTATTCGGTACGTTTAGATACCTATTATCTGATTCATACCAGGTGCTTCCCAAATTGTACGAACCTCAAAAATATTGAGTACTTATGATAAAGTAAATAGGAAGGCGATCCTTAACAAAAGTTATTTTTAAAGAGCATATTAGGAGAAGGGATATAAATGTTGTAACTGCTTCAGGTATAGTAACAGTAGAATGTGCCTAAATTCAAGCCTGACGTGTAGAGGTACTGCAAGCTGAGATAGAATCTTCTTAGGATTTACATTCGATTTTCTACTTCTTAGGTTTTAGAAGTAGGGGGGGGGATTTGTTTGACTGAAACAATCACCATAGAAGGTACTGGTACAGATCTGTCTATCAAACTACATTACTAGCCAATAATTATTGCATCATAACTAACAAATCACAAGGCCCATTACATCTGTGTTTTTAATTACTTTTTCCTTTCTGAATATAAGGGAAAATATATTTCATCATAAAGATATTTAATATCATTGAATTTACTGAAAAAAATTCGTTTCTTACCGACTGAATCAGGTTCTGATTGAGGTATTCAGCTGGCAAAAAGTCAGTGCAATTAATGATTAATCCACTAAAATTTTCTTTTGTTGTTTCGTGTTGAGTTCTTCTGTTGTTTTCTTATGCCATTCAGGCAAGAGAGGAGCTCTTCTTCTTGTTTTCAAATGGCGCCATCTATGGCCAAGAATTCATATTCTGCCACAGCATGCGTTACAGTCCGTTTTATAGGGAGGACACATTTACAAGCCACCCATCACTTTACAGATCGTAATTTTGACATGAACCTGAGCACGATCAATCTCCGATCCAGTACCCCTAAACGGAGAGTTTTTTTTAACATGGGAATTTGGAGGATTTTGTGACTCTGACAGATTTAGTGTGCACCAGTCACAATTTTGCTCATGGTGCTCCTCGACTGGCGGGGATCGAACTCACGATTTCTTGAACATCGACCCAAAGCCCTGCTAACCAGGCTTTCCCTGCCTCAGAGTTCTGTTGTTACGTTCTTATTATGAACTACATTCATGAAAAGAGAAATTTGATGTTGGATGTAAATTTAGTTCAGAAATTGCTCTAATCCATTTTCCAAATTTTTGGCTTTATTACAGTTTAAAAACGACCTGTTCACTCGTTGAAATTGATACGTTGCTCTTAAATCGAGCGTTATGTTTTAGGAGCTCATACGAGTTACGATTTAAGCAACTACGCATCACTTTAAATAAAGTATTATTTCTGCTCTTAAACAATAGTTAGCTTGCAAAGAGGTAAGTAAGAGATTAGAGAATGATTTAATGCTTAGTAAATAATTATATGACTTATTTACTACTCAAGATATTACTTTAACATATCCAAAGTATTGGCTAATCCAACTTTGGTATATCTATATATAACTTTGTTTTCCTTTCTTTTTTTGCGCATTGTACAGAATAATAACAGAGGAATTATGTTTTTTTCCATTGAAATAACATTAAGTTAAATTAACAAAAAATTAGTTAATTGAACCCTGTTTCTTCACCGTGCTAACCTTAAAAGTATTTACCAGGAACCGCTTCAAGCTATAGTTTTTTTCGTCCCAGTATGAAACTTTAATTCTTTTTTCTTTTTTTAAAGTAGCACACTACACCGCAAATTACGAAAAAGATTGTTAACCGCAGTTGTTGCGCTACACTGTAAGAGCTGTGGTGTAATATCTCTCCGAATATGACGCTGAACAACCAAAACGTTGTGTCAAGGAACACTTCCGGATTAATAAGAAATCAAGCTTTCATATATTATTTAAGGGGTGTAATTTAAATCTAAACAATAAAAATTCAATATCTTAATCCGCACTTTTTCATCAAATTATAATTATTTTTACTTCGGAGAACACCAATGCTGGCGCTTGGCACGATTTGAATATCAAGATGCGCCAAGTATGAATAGTAGAAATTTTAACGCTGCTATTCATCAACAGAAACAAAAATTGGCCACGAATTATGTAAGTATATTTTAGTTGTGTAGTAAGGATAGTTATATTTTGATTTTAAAAATTCTGAGAATTGTATTAAGTGATTTTATTTTTGTAATTTCTATCTGCTTCCGTTTTATTAAGCCTAATTCGAATTCGTTTAAAGATACTGTCCGAGCTACGCGGATGTTTCATTCGCAAACTTTTATTTTACGAATTAGTGTATACATGCATTCTAAATTAATGAATCTTATTTAATATTGTACTGTAAAAATAACTTTACCGCAAGTGTATTTTAATGTAATCATAAGTTTTGATGTTAATGAGTAGCAAAAATGGTGGCGGCTACCTTACAACAAATGGTTAAAAAAAACATTGGTGTAGTGAAACATTAGATTCAAGAGGGTGGTCTTTCACTTTGTTAAGAAGTTGCAACCATTTTTTAGTTAAATTTTTTTGCAGTGTTTATATTCTGGATCCTGTGCTAACTTGAAATAACTTTTTAATTCTCAAAATTTTTAGAATTTCCGTAAACCTGATACGGAATGGCATTATACAATTTTTTACAGAGTAAATTTCCTTTACCTTCACAGGTGGATTTAATTTGACACAAATAATATTTATTTTCATTAGTATGAAATCATTAGTGCGTGAACATACTTAGAACATGGGCTTAGAAGAAACTTACTCTTCGATTCGGAAAAATCTGGAAATCCGTGATAAAAATGTCTCTAATAAGTTTTGGATCACCAACTACTAGAACGGGACGAAGACCTTCAAAAAAACTGAAAAAAAGTCATAAAATAATTTTATTTCAGAGCAAAATGAACCTTTGATAACTTGATAGAGTTTTCTATAAAAGAATTACGAGTATAAAAACATTATTGAAGGAATGGCTAAAAATTATCTTTTATTTTATCACCGTCTTTGAACAACAGAGCAAATCCTGAGTTTACGACTACTGATGTTTAATTTCATAGCCTTGAAATTTTGAACCCAATCCAGAAAACAACGGAACTCATAGATTCAGCTTTGAAGCAAGCTAGCTTCCATGGAAGATTTTTTTGACGGATCTTGAGAGTTACATGAAGAGAAAAACAACGAAAGCCTTCCACGATTAACCCGTCTATAAAAGATTCTAACTCATGATCCGTCCACAACTAAGAATATTTTACGTCAGTATTGTGGTTGGTGCAATCCAGGAGCAGAATTCGTATCAATCAGCTACAGCTGAAATTTGAATCTGTGTCATCAGGAGGCGAGAGCTCAATCCCCCAAATCACCACGGCTCCTATCAGATGGTTTTATAAATGTTTTTTTTTGAAATTTTGAAATTCTGACTACCAATGTTCAACCACGTAGGCGAGCAATTATGAGCTCAATCCAAAAGACAAGAGAGTTCCTAAATCAAGTATTGAGTGAAATTTGCCTTCGTGGAGGTCTTTTTGATGGAACTAACCCACATTTGCGTTACATGTAGAGGAAAACCACAAAAAATCCCACGGTTAGCCGTCACTGGGATTCGATCCCGAGGCACTTCACTAGTAGGCGCGTGCTCTATGCTCTGATCTACCAAGGCTTAAAATATAAGATAAATACTATATTGAAAATATTTTTGCACAATATGAGTTTTCCAGAGTCTTTATTCGAAATTTTATTTATGTTCCTGCAAAATTAAAAAAAATCCCACCACTCGGAAATTTTGCTTTTACTCCTTAGACGAATATCGAAATTTAGTTTCGATTATTATTTTGTAATTAATTTAATGTTTTTAAAAAATAAAGCTTTCTTGTAATGGAAACTAAACTCATGCTTGTAAAAATTGCAACACCATGAAGGACTTATGCGGGATAGCTGAAATTTTCAGGAAATGCAAAGTAGAGCATGTTATGCAAATGATTAGAATTTCAGATCCGTAGGGCATGCGCATGCTGAGCAGCGCCCTCTGAACGGCTTATGGATCCGAATAAATAGACGGCTGTAGCGACGCGTGTATGGTTATCGGTGGTAATCTGCTTGTGGTAAACGTTAGCTTAGTCGTTACTTATGCCTCTTCGACGAAAGAGAGCAAGTTTTCAGCAACTTACGGACTTTGAACGGGGGAGAACCATCGGCCTTCAGGAAGCTGGATTATCTTATGGTGCAGATGCCGCTCGTGTGCAGCGTAACAGCAGCACAGTGGTGCGTGTTTGGAAGCAGTGCTGCAGCGTGGACTGCGCGCAAGGGACTCCATTATACAGGATCCCCCTCACGCTAAACCATCGCCGCCTGCGGCTGCAATGGGCCAACCAGAATAGGGACTGGCGTGCTGATTGGCAGCGTGTTGTGATTTCTGACGAATCCCGCTTTAATTTGTAGTACCATGATGGCCGCATTCGTGTCAGTCGCTATGCCGGTGAACGCCACCATCCGGAGTGTGTTATCGAACGCCACAGTGGACGAACATCCGGAGTTATGGTCTGGGGTGCCATAGCATATCATGGACGGTCTCAATTGCTACGAATTGTGGGTAATCTGAACAGCAACCGGCACATCAGTGAAGTTCTACAGCCCCAAGCTGTTCCCTTCCTTCAAGCCTTGCCAGGCGCTGTATTTCAACAGGACATTGCCCGCCCTCATATTGCTAGCATCGCGGCAGATACAGCTTCTTCTTTGGTCTGCGTATTCCCCGGATATATCACCGATTGAGCATGTGTGGGATTTTGCTGATCGGCGTCTCACTCGTGATCATCGTCCTGTTGCTTCTACAGACAAACTTTGGGTACGCATACAAACAATATGAAATTCTCTTCCTCAGGCAGACATTCAAACTTTGTATGACTCCATGCCACGTCGTGTATCAGCACTTATTGCGGCGCGTGGTGGTTACACAAAATACTGATTTTGATCTCTTGTTATTGTTTGTTTGCTTTGAAAATTCAATCATTTTTTTGTACTACTACTAGTCAGCTGTGTATTAAATTTAATTTAATTATGACGATTCCTTCATGGTGTTGCAATTTTCACAAACATGAGTTTATATTAGCTATTTACGCTTTCTCAAGCTTACAAGTAAATTGGCAAAAAATTGCTGAATAATTATAAAGTCGGCGAGTACACTCTAAAAAAAACAATAAATTATGAAGAAAAAAACACAGGTTTTGCAAAGAAAAAAGACTGCTGGTTAAAAGATAAGTAGATACTTTATTTACGTCGCTCTAGAGCTGCCCAATGGACAATGGAGACGGTAAACATCCCTGAGAATGGTCCAAAAACTCACAATTTTGAATTTGTCATCACGATTTTGATCCTCTGCTGGATGGCACCTCCGCTTCGGTAGCCCGACTATCCACGTGCGAAGTAGAGCACTTTACATAGAACAGTTTAACGAGGACCGATACAGAGCACCCTTGGTTCCTAATCAGCTGTTCAAAGTTGTCACCCGCACACTGGCTGCAAACAGCGATGCTTGACTTCGGTGATCTGCTAAGAACCGTGTCTTAACGATCAGTCCACTGCGGTATGAAAGAAGTTCAAAGCAAATAACAATGATTTTATACAGTACTACAGTAATTTTGTAGATTTTTTTTTTAAATAACAGAGTTTTTTTGTAAAAATAATGGAGTTTGTTTGGTAAAATAAACAGTAATTATCTGTTTAAAAAAACAAGCGTTAATTTTTAAATAACAGTATCTTTCTGTGAAATAAAGGGTTTTATTCTGGCAAGCCAGCTAGCAATTTTTTTTGCCAATTTTATTTCCCATTTATTTTACATTCAATACTTATGTTTACAGTTTATGGAATACACTGCTTCGAGAGTGCTATTTAAAGTTTGCCAATGTTTATTACACCAGCACTAGTGTGAGTGCAAAATCTTTACGATTTATATGAGTATCGAAATCTTAAGTATTTTTATGAATATCAAAATCTTCAATATTTGTATGAGATGTTTTCAACTATCAGTTCTGTCAAAATGTGCAAAACTGTCTTGTTGTTGTTACTTTGACCATTTGCCAATATCAGCAAGCTTGCTTGAAATCAAGCCAATTTTTAAGGCAGGTGGTGCGTTTCTTGTTTTTTCAGTGGCGCAATCTATGGACGAAACTTGAACCCAATCCAGAAGACAAGGGAACTTCTGGATCAAGTATTAGGAGACATTTGCCTTCATGGAGGTCTTTTTGATGGAGCAAACTCGTATTTGCGTTACATGGAGAGGAAAACCACGGAAACCTCCCATGATTAATCTGACGTCAAGGGGACGCAACTCATAAACCGTCTCCTACTGAGGATATTTTACGTCAGCAATATGGCTAGCATGATCCGGATGTGGAATATTTTTCGACAAGCCATCGCTGATATTCGAAACCAGTACGCTACATATTCTCTGAGCCATCGCAGCTTTAACGAGATGGTTGAATAACAACGAAAAAGAAATTGGGGAAGCAGTGTAGATAATAAACGTATGGAAAATTACGTAATTGAGACAGAGGAGGTCTGGGAAGGGCTGTATTCTTTGTAGAGTGGAGAATTATAGTTCGTTATAAGGAATAAAATTTGAATTTAATTACCCGTGAATTGGTCCTAAGGAGAAATATCTGTTTAGTTCAAGAACATGCATCGGCTGCAAAAAAATGTCAAAATGCATTAAGATATAAATTAAATTCTATACTCTGATTAAGCAAATAGTTGAGATTAAATTTGAACATAATCAGTGGCTTATGACACTGTCAAGAAAATATAATTTAGAATCGACAATAACATCAATAGTAGTTTCGTTTAACTTTAACATTCTACAAAATAGCCTTAGAAGTGTTCTTACAAGATGCTCTGCAACTACCTTCCTTAATGTACATTTTTACAAATCTTTTTAAAAATTATGTTAAAAAAATATGTGTGCATTAAGTGTTGCAAATTCATATTTATGTGAAAAAGAAAAAAATGCTGGAGCAGTATTATTGCAAAAAGTTTTATATACTGTAAAAAGTAATAGTGTAAAAAATATTGGCGAGATGCCATCATTCTTGGTTTTGAGATAAGCTAAAAACATTTTTAAATACAGAACTGTCGTTATCGTGCAAAAATTTATATAAAAATAAGGAAATAACAATTGTTTGAAAGAATTCAGGTAATTACTAAAAATAAGCTTTTTTCTTTTAAAAAAAAAAGAAAGGTTTTTGCTATACAGTCATAAATTGATTCTAATGCGAATGAAAATATGAGTTGTCAGTAAACAACCGAACAAAAAATGAATAAATTTATATTGAAACTAAAACAATTAAAAAATATTAAAAAATGTGACTACATGCACTATAAAATTTTTTTTGTTTACTTCAACACTAAAAATGGTGGTAACTTCAGACCAATTTTTTTTTTTTACAGTGAACGAATTGTTGGCGAAGAAAGCAGATTGTAAAGCCCCTGAACCAGTTTGTTTGTTTGGTGAAATTTGAGTAAATCTTAACTATGAATTTTTATATTTATTATCTGTTTTATCTGGTAATCAATCAGGTTAGGATGTTTTCAGTGTTGATTTATTAGATCTCAATAATATTTTTGTTTTCATTCTTCACTTAAATGTTAGTTTTTGATCCTTTATCTATATATTATTTTGAATTCAATTTCGACAAGGATTCTAAAAGTACATATAGTAAGGGTGGTTATTATGGAAGACTTTGTGTCCTCTTACTCTATGTGTACAGTGTACACACACTTTACAATAGTGCCATAATAAAAATTTAAAATTCATAAATTTCTTTGCGGAAAAATGGGATAACTGTAAGTGACGTTGTATGGATATCTTGATCCTGATTGGTTGATGAAACGTGGCATTTGCTTACGCTAGCAACTGTTCTTTCCATTGTTTTTCGAGTAAGCTAATCAGTTGAGTATCAATTCTTTTTAAGGGACACATTCTACATTCATTCACAAAGATTTAAATTTTTTCACTATATATTTGTAACTTAACACACAAACTGGCAAGATGCCATGTAGAACACAAGCGAATTAATATTGCATCGAAGTTGCCAGGTACACACAACAAAAATATATCATGGTTACAATAAAATGCTCAAGCAAATAATGAATCTAAGTTATGTAAAAGGCATAGTCAAGAATGAATTATATTTTAACAAATTCGATTTTAAACTTAACGTTCATTAACATTCTAACTTATGTAAGGAAATTTAGTTCGATTCTAACACGCCATCTTGTTTATAAGGTCATATGAGACCATGAGGACATAGGTCACGTGTCTGTGTATAAGCGACAGTCTTCTCAAGATGTAAGTGTCCAGTTTTTATCGAATAATGATGTCAACTTCAAAAAAAAAAAATTGAAAAAATACGCTTGAAAAATATGGTACAAAACTAAAAATTATTTCCAAGCCGTAAATCTCTTAATCCCAACGTTAGCCGTAAATCCTTTTAACCCCTTAGACCCACTTGTATAATTGTGCGTGTTAGATCTTAATCTAATATGCTCTTCAATGTTGCGTGATTATAAATAACCTCATAATGAGTAACCTTAAAGTGGCCACCTTTCTTGGAACTTTTTTGGAACTTTAGTGTGTGTAAATAAGAACTGAATAAGAATTGGTTACGAAATGTAGTACTTGCGTTCCATCTTAACTTATATATTTCAGTATAATAACCGAGTTTTAACTTCGATAATAGTGGTAATATATTAATTTTAAAAAAAGCTTAAACTGAGTCAAATTTGTCTTTTTTAAAGGCTGATAATTTAATATTAAAATACCGGCTAAAAACATACAATTCGATATTAAATTCAATAATGTATTTTAGTGTACAAGGACTATCTTAAATTTCTTAGATTAATGTTCATGGCAAAATCTAGCACTTTCCTAGCACTTGCTTTTTGAACTATTTATATAGGCAAAAAAATATAAGTGCTTTCAAATTGCAACAGCTCTTAAAGGATTAATGCATATTTTTAGTACGCTCTTTGCAAATTTTACTGAATTTATAACGAACTGATTGCAAAAAATTAAAATTTGCATGTATTTTTTGTAGAGTATTCAGTATTTTGAAAAATTCCAGTATTTTTGAAAATTTCAGAAAAAATCGAAAAACAAATACAGATTGAATGTGAATGTAACATTATCCAACAATTCTCTAACAAACAACAATTGCACAAACAGACAACAAAATGGCAATTATAGTTTAAGGAAAGGAAGAGTGTTGTACATAGTTAAAAATAAAAAACGGACAACACTGAATAACTTTTGATCTAATGATCGGATCTTCCCATTCTGGGACTCACTCAATCATAAATATTCAAAGGGGTGACATCGAATATGCTATTTAATTAGTACAGACTATGTTTTAAGTAACAAAATTAGAAAAATCGTACTTTCTCTGAATAAACATATTTCTTTACGGATTCAGATTTCTGACCTCCAAAATATAAGGGAGTAGTCGAAATCTAGAAAATAGGCTCCCCATTGTTTGGCCATTAGAGTGGTCAATTTGAAGCGCTTAATGTTAATTTTACCTTTTTGCGTATTTCTTCATATCTCGAGTAATTTTTAAGCGAATTGAAAATTTGTTTTTCTCAAAATTATAAAGCTTGTCGATCTCAAGATATATAAATAACGTAATAATTCCATGCAAAAAGTAATTTCCATAGTTCCATGCAAAAAAATGACGCTTATTAAATACTTATTATATTTTCATTTTTTTATTGTTCAGGATTAGTTGAAAAAGTTTTGAATTGTAAGGTATAAAATTTTAAAGAATGTAATTTTACATTTCAAAATACAAAATTTGAGCGAAATAGAAGGAATAGTTTCTATGTAATTAATACATTTTTTTGTTATTCAGAATGGTCGGTTTTTTTTTGCGTCTTGTACTTTGAACCAGTGTGAACATTTGCTTCTTTGATTTTTAGCTGCTGAATAATTTTTGAAACGAATTCTTGAAAAATGAATCTCAGCATTACTTACATTTGGAAATCGACGAACATACCAAAATTTTATACCTTTTAATATTAAATACCAATTTTTTTTAAAAAAAAATTTATTTTTGTTTGCTCTAAAGTTGTATCTTGTACCATTGTCAGTATTGTATCATACTCATGACCAAGTTGGGAGCAACAGGTCCAGTTAGTACATATTTCCTTGTGAATTTTGTTATTTACCCTTTGACGCAGATCGGTGTCTGCCATCGGTGTCTCTTTTATGTATTTTTTCTGCCGTTCTAATTAAAAGCAAAAATATATTTTGGTATTTTCGAAGTATAAAAAACAGCCTAACAATTGCTAAAATAATCTGTTAGATTAATGCAATTATATTTGCAATAAAATATGAAATTCAATAAAAGTAGTTTGAATTTTTTTTTCTCATTCATGGATTAATAAGTGATTAAAAATAGTATATTCATGGATTAAAAATGGATTAATAAGGGATTCTGAAAATTAAGTAAATTTAAATGATAAATAACTGTTTCTCTTAGACCTCAATAATTACAAATAAGTGCAAATTAAAAAAAAACAAAAAAAAAACAAACAAATATTGTTTGGAAGTGAATCGTATTTGGTAGATTTTATAGTTAACGCAGAAAAGGACTCAGATTATTTTAAGCTGTATATCATTACCATAAACTGTTATAATGTTAAATATAATATTTTTCACTTATTTCGACCTGAATTAGTACAAAATAATTGGAAAAAGGTCGAGGAAAAAAAATATGAAAAATCGGCTTGAATATAAATTCTGCTTCAAAGGGTTAATCGCTGTTCTGAATAATCCCGTATATTGTAAAAATTTTACCGATTGATAGCTTATAGTAAAATGCGCCTTACCAGAAGGTTTCTATTTCGTTTGTCCCTTTTCCTTAAACTTCTTCGTGAAAGTCTACAAAGATTCACGTGATATTGTAAAATTTGTTGCCCGAGTTTTTTCAGTAAGATAAATTTAATTTTTTATTCCCTTACTTCTCGCTCCCGTGAAAATTATGAGGTAAGCTTTCATCTACTATTTCTCGTGCCCGTGATATTTCCAAGCTAGAGCGTTCAAAAGTAACTCTCTAAAAAGTTTTAAATATTTCCATCTCTTGTGTTATTCTTATTTGTTATTTTAAAAGTAAGATGACTGCGTCAGACTATTTTTAATGTAACTGGAAATAGTTTATTTTAACTAGATATCAAGACTATCCAAATATATGTATTTCGTACTCTTAGCTCAGCTACATATTCTCTTTGTGAGTACACTCAATTTGTGTTATGTAATAAAATATTCTTTTATAATGCGTACGTAAAGGAGTCAGAGTTACATGAGCATATAGAGTGTCAAATTTCAAGCTAAATAAGTTACAGAATTAAAAAAAAATGAATGCATATATTTGTGCGTACACCTTTTTCTACCTAATTTTCTTGAATAAAAATATAGACACTTCTATGGCTTTTTCTTGATTAAATAGATTTTAGCTATAAAGTTTCTCTAAAAAATTATAATAATTTTCAAAATATCTTACTGTTGTCGCAAGGTCTATCAGGGATCCAAAAAAAGGAAGTGGCTTCACATAAGGAACATTTCTATCCTTCCAATACGAAAGTTTTTTATTTGAATACCTGAAATAGAGAAAACTAATGTTATTAACGCTAACCTCTCAGATTCAAATTAGTGTGAACAGGCTCAAAGCTTGTGACTTAAAGAAAATTTTAAATTTTAAATTTCTAAATTTTAAAAAGAAGTAATTTAGAAATCTACATTTTTTAAGTGGACTAAAAAGAGAGAGTCGTTTTCTTATCACATCTAAAATAAAAAGAAGTAGAAAACAACACTCCTGAGTAATTTTTGGTGGTAATGTAAAAGTGATGTGCACGGCTTTCTTCTTTTTACGGAAGGGAAAAAAAAAAAAAAGTATATATATATATATATATATATATATATTACCAGTAGGGTTACCANTTGGAGAATCGAATCACTTGTGATATATATATATTACTTAATTGTATTATTATGTTTGAACTCGGTTCACCTCATTGGAAGGGGAATGCTCTATCATTGTAAATATAAAATCCAGAAAGCTGTGAGAATTACAAATTGCATTAAAAAAAATGACGACCAATAATACACGAACCAGTTGTTAAATACTGCCCTTTCACACTGATGCAGCGTTTCCAAATCTTATAACTTTTGTGTACCCTTTTTTAAATTTTGCGTAACGCTGTGTACCATTAATAAGAAATGAATGTATTCTTTACTATAACAAAATTGCACAAAAGTTAAAAATCACAACTGTTTGTTGACACCACTAATTATTGCAAAAAAGTAACCAATAGAAAAATACGTAATCGTAAATTTTCATGGCTAGCTTTGCTTTTAAATAAAATTTCTTGAAATTTTTGTTTGTTGCAAGATATTTCGCATAAGAACACGTACCCCCTCTAAACTGTTCCCTTACCCCTGGGGGTACGCGTACCACACTTTGGGAAACACTGTTGTATACGAACACAAACCTTCAATCGGATGCCTGCAAGTTGCGTAGGTAAATCCTGGCATTTGTCGATTTAGAAGCCAATCAGGTTCGATACAGTGCGTGACGTCACTTACAGTTATCCAATTAAATCTAATTTCAATCACATGGTTAAGCGTAATCACTTCACTTTTTTTCAAGTTGCAAGATCCAATTGGGAGTTGATGCTTCTGGCTGGTCAGAAAGTGTCCAAAATTTTAAATGGCAACAAATTAACTTTGGCCATACCTTCTTATCTCCGCCGTTCTTCCATTTCCTCTTGTCTTTGTCGTTCTCCTATTTCGTCATATCTTCGTTGCAATTTATGTGCTCATTTTTCCTTTTCGCCATCATAAACTTTAATTAATTCAAGCAACAATAGTGTATGTAACCCATATAAATATGCATATTATTCAAAATTGAAATAAATTTTGGAACAAAGAAAATAGTTAGAAATATTTAAAATAAATCCGAATTTACTTGGTTAAAGATACTTTTGCGTCTTCCTTAACACATAACATACTTGACGAGATTCTAAATATTTTATGGAACAAAAATGAAGCAAATAATCAAAAGATTACATTAAACATCGTAAATTCAAATAAATATAATAAAAGGAAAAGATAGAGTAATCAATCTAACCAGTAGTTGAGATTTTTGCCGTTGCGTTTCAGCATGTGTTGTAATTTTACCCCGTTTTGAAAAATGAAGACGAGACTCCCTTTTATATATGATTTAACATTAAAGTGATTAGATTGTTGCTTTCATTTTCTTAAATTGTTTTTAATAAAAGGAAGAAAAAAAAATGTTCAAAAAGCAGACGCAGCGAGCTTGAATCAAAATGGAATCAAGTGTGCAAAAAGTTGAGAAAATCTCAAAATTCTTTGACGCATAAGATTTCTCAATAAGCATTAGATTTAATATTTGATGAGATTTAAAATGTATAATAAACTTTTGAGTAATTTAATCTATTTGAGTATTGCTAAGGTTTGAGAATTTATAAACAAAATTATACCTATTACTCTGAAAATAAAAAAAATTTAAAATTTAAAATCCAAAATTCATTGGGACTTAAAGTCTATTTTTACAATTATGTTTAATAAATTTGAATTTTGCGATTCTTTTTATAAACAATATTATATACTTATTGCTAAGAGAACACAAAAATTAGAAATTTTAATGTGAAATGTAATCTATCTGTGGATCTTGTACGCTATTTTAATTTAAAAAAATGCTGAAGTTACTCAGGATCAAAATTCTCTAGAAACATCTAGCTTTGATAATACAGAGGATAAAGCACTGAACTGCTATTGGAAAAAACCGGTGTTCGATCTTTTATGGTGACTTGACGACCGATAACAAATGGATTTATGTCAGTTTGGTGCAATAAGCGAATTAATGTGGTTCACAATAATAAATATTGAAAAAAAAAAGAAAATTATATTGAATAAAAAGTTTTATTTTGTGGAACAGTCTCCTTGTAGTGAGATATCTTTTGCGAACTTAAGCTGCAGATTAACTTTTGAAAATGTGAAGATTTAAGAAATTAAATATTTTCTTCAGACTTATTACTAAGAAAATGATTTTTAGAAAAAAGAAACTGTGGGCTGAAAACCACAAAAAAGCTTCAATAAAACTGCACACAAAATTTGTCGATTCCCTTCAGAAAAGTAAGTTTACTTTATCTGAGTTACTTTTTTTAAATTACCTTTTAAGTATTTTGAAAAAAATATTTTGGTACGCGATAACTTTCTTTCCTTTTTTCCTTCCCAAACCTTTTTTTAATGCAATATAAATAATAAACTATAAATTTTGAATTCAATCAAAAAAGTTGACCTTTTAATAAAATTTCGCTTCATACATGTCACTGTGTACTCTTAGAATAAATTTGTTAAAATTTGTCTCATCTATTAGTTTAGGGTAGTCAAATATAAAAGATTGAATAATCTCCTTTAAGGATAACCGTATTTCTATGATTCTATAACATTTGATTGAACAACTATTCAATTTAAAATATGAATACATACCACCAGAACAAAGCAGTAAGAATTAATATTAGTAGCATTTCTGTTGAAAAATGATTTAAATATGAAAATATAAGCTCTTTGATAGCCATTATATTATCTTATCAAACAGTATGGTAGCTTTTAAAAAAACCCTCTCTCTTAATTTCCTTATCAAACAGCTAGCAAAACTTGTAAGACGTGTGAATAAATACTTGTTTGTTACTTGATTTTATGTTTTGCAATATTTGTTTTATATTTTCATTTAAGACTTTTATTGATAAAAATATTGTTAAATGGAACTATTTTATTTGAATTCAACCTACATACGAAGCAAAAAAAAATAATTCCAGAATGTAGAAATTATTGAGTCATACAAGTATTAACTAAATCTAACATCTTAAAGTTAAACTTACTGTTTATTCAGCATAGTATAAAGATAAACAAAATAGAACGATGATCGTCTATATAATAAATAATTTAGACAGCTGTCTTCATATCTAGTAGTTGAAATAATATATTGTATAGTATACTGAACTGTTGCCAGATTTCATAAATATATAAAAACCAATCACTTTTCTTATTAACACATACATCAATAATTCCCCCTGTTGAAAAGAAAAAGAACTAAACTACCAATTTCTAAGTAACATTTAAAGTAAAGAGTTTATAAGAGTCCTATCTTTTCTCATAGATTTAAAAGTCTCGGTTTGGGCAAGGGCTTTGTCAATATATCTGCAGTTTGTACCTCCGATGAGATCTGCTGCACACTAACTTCTTCTTCCAAATCCTTTTCATGAATGTAGAAATGTTTTATACTGATGTGCTTCGTTCTACGATGAAACTCAGGATTTTGAGCTAATCTGACAGCTACACTATTATCAACAAAAATTGTTGGTACTACTTTAAAGGAGGAAATTCCATTGAAGAGTCTTTTAAGCCAAATTAATTCTCTTGCGGCTTCATTTGCAGCAACTATCTCAGCCTCTGTGGTTGATATTGCAACCATAGTTTGACGCTGACTTAACCAAGATGTAGCCTCACCTGCATACAAAACTAAAACTCTTCTCGTCGATCTTCCTGTCTTCATGCAGCCCTCAAAGTCAGCATCACTAAAACATTCTAGAATTCCGGGTTTGTATCCTAATTTATAGATAATACATTTTTGCTTTGAACTTGCGATGTATCGAAATACCCGTTTTACTTTGATAAAATCTTCTTTGGCAGAATTTTCTAATTTACGTGACAAAACGCTAATAGCGTATGCCAAGTCAGGCATAGTGCCAATCATTAGATACATTAATGCTCCAACTGCCTCACGATAAGGAAATACTGTTTCATTTCCTTCTTCAGCACTGCATGGTTCTTCCTCTTTCAAAATGAGTGTATGAACTGGCTTACAATTACTCATACCAAATCGCTAAAGTATCTTTGTGGCATAATCTTCTTGTAAACTTTTAATGCTTACATCATCAAGTCTATAAATTTTTACTCCAAAAAAATATGATGCAGACTTGCTTAGAATTTTGAACTGAGTTTTCAACTGAGTTATAAAGTCACTTTAGTATTCTTCATGAGTAGCAGCAACAAGTCCATCATCTACATAGAGAGCTACGAGTAGATTTTTATCTTCTTTCTCGTGAACGAATAAACACTAATCTACTTCATTAATTTTACAGCCAAGGTTTAACAAGAATAAACCAAAACATTTATGCCAGCAACGAGGAGCTTGTTTGAGGCCCTACAAATTTTTCTGGAGTTTAAATACTTCGTTGGTGCCATTAGTATAACCTTCAGGTTGCTACATGTAAATGGTTTCCTCTAAATCACCATATAAAAAGGCAGTTGATACATCAAATTGCGTAAGATGCATATTCTCACAAGCTACAATACTTATTATTGAACGTATAGTTCCTAACTTAGTAACTGGACTAAAAGTTTGATTGTAATCAATACCCTTTCTTTGATTAAAGCCTTTAATCACAAGTCTTGCTTTATATTTATCTATAGTACCGTCTGGATTTTTCATGATACGAAACACCCACTTACAAGGTAAAGCTTTTGCTTTCTCGGTTAAAGGTGTTAATATCCACGTTTGAGTTTCTTTTAGTGATTTGATTTCAGCATTCATGGCTGTTATCCAACAATTGTATTCCTTACAATTAATAGCTTCTTCGTATGACTCTGACTCATTTGAATCTGATATGAAACTTTCAGCTGCCATTACATAATCTTTCAAACTTTTAGTTCACTTCGATTTCTTAGTTTCATGGTTAAGGAATTTTCTCAATCTTCGCTTTCATTTTCTGAACTGATTTTCTCTCTTAAGTCAATTTGATCAAGCTTTCCCTCATTTTCAGCTTCAGTAGGTATCTTCACAGTTAATTAGAGTTTTTTCATCAAATGTTACTTCTCGAGAGGAGATTACATTATTGTTTTCCTTTATCCATATACGATATCTGTCATCACCGTCATATCCCAATACATAACCTTTTATTGTTTTCTTATCAACTTTTTTACTCTTCTTACTTGTTATATGGGCATAACATGATGATCCCACTATTCGCATATATTTTATTCTGGGTCTTTGTCCCATCCATAATTCATAAGGACTTATGTTTAGTAAGGAACTTTTTTCCTGTTCTGTTTAATATGTGCACAGACGTATGTATCAGTTCTCCCCATAATGATGAAGGAAAATTTATTTCTGAATTGGAATTCTTCAAAGTTCTTGCTGTTTTTACTAAAGTCCTATTCTCTCGCTCACTGCCGCCATTCTGCTGAGGTGTATAGGAACATGTGACTCTTTGAATAATTCCACCTTCATGCAAGATTCTTCTCACATTTTCATTATCGAATTCTCCTCCATTATCACTCAAGATCTCCTTGATATTGTGCCCTAGAATTTTGGCATCTGCTAACATATTTTCAGAACCTTGGGTAACTTCTGATTTTTTATGAAGGTAAAATACATAGCTAAATTTAGTAAAATGATCATTAAAAGTTTTACAATAACGATATTTTTTGAATGATTGATCGAAAGTTCCACATACATCTGTTGAGATAAGTTCTCCAGGGCTTTTGCTCTTCTGTCTATTACCAAATTTTAACCGATGAGCTTTACCGTAGATGCATGTTTCACAAAGCTGATTGTTTAATTCAACTTTCTGATCCATTTGCTTTTCAAGAACATTCTTTACATGGCGTTTGTTTTGGTGTCCCCAGCGATCATGATATAATTGGAGAATCGAATCACTTGTGGTAACTAAGTTCAGTTCCACTGTATTGTTTGGAATAAGAACTTGCATATGTGCTTCATTCAAGTCACCATTTGCATTTCTTGTACCTTAGAGTTGTTTCCAATTTTTAACCAACATTCTTCTGTTGTTGATACGAATTTACTGTTTTTGTTTCTATCCAACTTTTATCATAATTTTTAAAGTGTCTCTGCCTACAGCTGGTAGTAACTAACCACTTGCAGCAGCAATCCCATGAGGGAATTCAAAAATTTTTATTATTGGAGAAGAATTTACTATTATTGGAGACATGTTTTGATGCCAACTATACACCAACCGTTGCTGCTTTCTTCAAATGAAAACACTTCCTCGTGAAGAGTTAGTAATGAATTATTTGCTATAACATTATCTCTATCCTGAAAATTTTCATTTTGCATTGGCTTAGCTGGCCTACCATTATCAATCCACTTTCGACAATTTTTCACTCAGTGACCATTTTGATGACAGTAGTTGCATTTTCCAATTTTTCTCTTACTTTTAAGAATCAGCTTGGCTCTAGTTACTTTTGCTTCTAATGCTTCTTGATTAACTAAAACTTGAATATTTCTTTATCTCTATTTCATGCGTACACAACTGTGTTGTTAGTTCATCTGGAGTTCTTTTTTAATCACTCAGAACTAGCCAACTTAATTTAAAAGTAGGATAATTGAGAGGAAGAGTGTCCAAAATTTTCCAAATTAGCAACATTTTTGGAAGATGTTTTCATTTTTACTCTCAAGATCACTATTCAAATCATTCCATAAATTTTTGATCTTTGATAAATGAGCTGATATATCATCATCCGACCAACTAAATTTAAAGAATTGAAGACAAATTGCATAGAGCTGGTTGTCAGAGGAATCTTCACAAATTTTCTGAAGCTTCAGTCAAACTTCTCTTGCGCTATCAAATCTCATTACCTTTTGTAATGTGTCATCTGTCATGGAGTTGGTTAACAACATCATAGCTCAGTTATTTGCCATATTGCAATCTCTGACATCATCCTTATATTTCTTTTTGATAGTTTCAGAAGCTGTTGGATCAGGCAGTTCTGGCTTTTCATCTTTTCTTCAACAACACCCAGAGCATCTGCAATATCTCAGATACTATTCGACCGATTTCATTCAAATTTTGTAAAAAGTAATTTATTTGCAAATATAAAGAAACAAGCGTCTTTTAGTTTAACGTGAAGAATATATCCTAAAAACTTCAACAAAATCAAAATGTATCCAACTTCAATTGACTCTTAAAACTGCTCAAATGCAATCTTATTTCATCGTAGTCAATACGTGGCTTTGTTTTGCATACAACTTTACTAAAGCCAATTCTGATGAAAGCTCAATTATTATTTTTGTTAAAATTGCTTTTACAACGCATATTGATAGACTTGTTTAATTACAATGAGTTATAATTTTCACTAATACAGCTATTATATGGGTATTAAATATTATAATTTAGGCTATACCTAAATTTAATTGAGAATGATTGGTATGAATAAGAATGTGGTGACTATTTATGCTTCTTCTTTACAAATTAGTACTATATCTCTATTATTTTTGCTTTTCAAAACTTATTTTTTAAATTTTAATTACTGTTGATTTTCTAATTTATTTTTATAGACTCACGTTTTAAAAACACAACTATAAGCATAATAAACACATGACTTCAAATAACTTTAGAAATACTAATTAAGTGGCGTAATTCGCCAATGCTATCCAAATTTCCCTATTTCCAAATTTTCCAAACGGTTAAGTTTTAAGAAAGGAGAGAAATCCACACAGATTGACAGACAAACTCTTCATTTTATTATTGTAGATTAAGAATTACGGAAGTTTTATTCAACAAAAAATCTTTATATTTCCAATGAATAAGAATAACACATTAAATAAAGCAAATAGTTAAATCACCAAAGCAAACAAAAATGCTATTTCGCAAAGTGATAATA